ATCTATCCTTAGTAGGAAGACGATCCAAGATTACCATCCAAGAAATTAAGCTGTACTTGGGAATGTGAAATGAAAACCAAAGCAGATTATGCCATCCACTTTACTGTTTTCTGTCGAACCTCTTCCCAAAACTGCTTGGTGGTCATAGCTCCTGATGCAAGAAGAGGACGGGCTGTAGTTCGAAGGTTCATGATTTTTCGTAGGAGCTAGCTAGTATTCTGAGGTTCATCCATAAGCCAGAAATCATGATCCTTAATTAAATAAATGTGGATCCAAGCAATCCATAAAGATCCCTCCCATGCAAGTATTCTCTTAATAAGAACCGTCATGCATGATTTGTTCCATGACTTGATGTCCTTGAGACCAAGCTCGCCTTCAGATTTTGGACTGCAAATTCTTACCCAGCTAACTCTAGCTCCCACTGCTGGAATGTCAGATCCTTTCCAAAAGTATCTCGAACATATTTGTTCAATTTTGTTGATAACAGATTGTGGCAAGATAAGTTGCCTACACCAGAAATTGGCCACACTAAATAATATTGTTTTAATCAACTCCAATCTGCCAGCATAACTTAGCTTCTTCCTGCACCATTGATGAAGCTTGATTTTGATCTTGTGAATGAGAGGTTGGCAGTCTTTAACAGTAAGCTTCCTAAAATGCAAGAAAATCAACCTCACTCATTTAACATTTGCTGACGATCTTCTTATTTTTTGTAAGGGCAATCTGGAATCAGTCATGGGAGTCATCACTGTCCTTGACTACTTCTATGAAATTTCTGGTCTCAATCTTAATGTTGCTAAATGTGAAATATTTACTGCTGGAATTTCAATACATTCTCTTGACACATTGATTAGTTTAGTTTAGTTTTCTAATGGGAATAGGAAAATAAAAAAATTTGTACACTTAATTTTTTTTTTAAATCGAATGTTAAAATTTTGAACTCTTATTTTTTAATTTCTAGATCCGTCAATGATTATATCATTTATATTTTTGCGTGGATTTGTAGGGTTTGAGATGACGGGCGTGGCATGTTGTTCGACGGGGACATTCGAAATGAGTTATCTATGCAGTCAGTATAATCCATTTACGTGCAGTGATGCCAATAAATATGTATTTTGGGATGCTTTCCATCCCACTGAGAAAACCAACCAAATCATATCCCACCATCTCATCCCTCTTCTTTTATCGACCTTCTCTCATTAGCATTAATCTTTATTTTCTCAAGTATTTCTTGTTAGAATCAAATCGTATTAAATATGAAAAACAATCAGAATCTAATTATATCAAATTAATAAATACTAAATTTACGAAAGTGTACCTGAATTAATCGATAGATTAAAATTCTTGAGTATATCTTTGGTTGTGATCTTCTAAGAAGATAGAGTTCCCTTAAGTATAAACTCTCTGATAAGGATAAGAATAAATACGAGAATGTCTATTTCTTGAGTACCATAACTCTTTTATATAATTATTGTTTGTACTTATAACTTTGTCCTTATCAAATTATAAATACAACTTTAATTAATAGTATATACATTTTTATTTTCATTTCACTTTTAATATCTTATGACTTTATACATAATTGGTCACTTTTAATATTTTATAATAATAATATATATTATAAATATGTGCCCGTAATTATAGATTTTAATTCAAATTTCTCTTTCACATTCATGCATTCATGCTATTAAATGTTTACCTAGTTTATATCAATACATACTTATATATGTAGCCATTTTAGAAAAAAACTATCAACATATTGACCAAGCCAAAAAAATTGTTATAAGATAGAGATCAACATGCCCTTTTGCTCGCGATTCAAACTCGAAATACCGAAGAACTCAAACAGTAGCGAAGCACACCCTGGTGAGGGTAAGTACTGAAATCTGATTTTTTTTTTGTATTATTTACTTATTTTACTTATGGTGTTTACTTTGAAATGTGAGTTTTATTCGATTAGTTACTTATTTCACGAACGATATTCACCCTGAAATTTTATTTATACTCATCCCGTTTAAAAATTTTATGTTGTTAACATATATGTATCCGTCCTAAGAAATATTTCTGGATCCGCCATTGAACTTAAATAATTTGATTGAGAAATTAAACGATGAGTAACTCATTAGTTTAAATTAATTATTTTTAAAGAAATTGAATTTTTGATCATTAATAAATACCATTTTCGGTTATGAAAAATAATATTTTTTTATAGAAGAAACTAATTTTATTTAAAATTCTTAAATTATAATAAATATTACAATCACAATCATAAATTAAATACATAATTAGGAAAATTTCCTATAATCATTAAAACAAAACTAGCAACTTAAGATTGCATAAGGACCATACAAAGAAATATTAAAAATCTAACAAAAAACTTGAACAAAGATAGATACAAACATATCTGATACCATCAAGAAATGAACCATAAAAGAGGATCAAGTTATTAAAAGACCATCTTCAAACAGCAAATCAGACTTGAGAAACATAAAAAACTTTTCATGAACGTAAATCAGATATCCAAATCTAATCTGAGGGTCCAAAACAGAAAATATCAACAAAATATTAAATAGACACCGTCTTGATGTCAAATCAACCCTTAAAAATAAATAAAAAAACGATGTCAAATATAAATTCAATTGATATTTTAAGATAAGTGAAAATCGTCAATTAGAAAGATAACAATTAAATATTTAAAAAACAAACTTTGAAAAAAAAGATTAAAATATCAATTGAATTTATATTACACAAAATTTTAAAACTTGAAGAACACGAACGTCCTCTAATAATCTACAAATCTATTTCTAGAGACTATTTTTTTTTATAAAATACCTAAATAAGAAAGAAATAAATTTCAAACACAATAATGAATGGAGTTGGGTGGGGTTTAGACTTGAGATTAGTTGCATATAAAGAGAAAAGCGCCTCCTTTCTCGTTGGACATGCCTTTCAATCAATCCCTGGCCCACAACCATTTCGATACATACTTATATGAAGGCTTAATTTAAAAAAATACCTAAAATATACAGCTTTTCTTAAATACGTGTATAAATTATTTTTTAACTCGTTCAGACGCCTAACGTTATAAACGTTACCCATTTAGTTGTCCGAGCCATCAATAGCGTTGATTTTCCTCCGTTAAGTGACTCGTGTCACAATCTGATGATTTTAAAATTTATTTTTTAAAAATATTAAAAATATTATTATATTTATAAAAAAACATAATTTCTCTTAAATTATAAAATAGCCCCAAATCCCTAAAATCCCCAAATCCCAAACTTAACTTGCCATCACCTCCCTTTTCGGCCACAACAACTGCCATCGACGTAGCTTTTACCATCTCCTAATCGTATGTCATCGTAGTTATCGTGGATTGACCGTCGAAATCGCGTACAATTTTCAACCTAGGGTTTGCAAAGTATAAACTATTAGAGAATTAATTATAATAGATTTTATCTATATTTTAAATTATTGTAATCAATTATAATATTCTTGTAATTAGTTGTAATCCCCTAACTCTAGGCTAATCTCCTATTTCTATGCCTTGTAATTAGTTGTAATCCCCTAACTCTAGGCTAGTTTCCTATTTCTATGTGTCCAATTTTGTGTATATATATTCACTCTTAATCAATGGAAAACTAAAGCCATTGTTTCTCATTACTCTTCTCTCTATTTCAACATGGTATCACGAGCCTAATCTTCCTGAGCATATTTTCTTCTCCTTTTTTTTTTGGTTCAAAAACACCACGATCCTTCATATACATATATCTAAAACTACGCCACTAGTCCCTTCAATGGCTTCCCATACGACTTCCTCTTCCACCAACGATCCTATTACTATCCAAAATTCTCAAGATCCTCAACATCCTCTCCTTACAATAAATCTCTCTAATATCACCAAATTGTCATCCACCAATTATCTCACATGGAGCCTTCAAATCCAATCTCTTCTTGAAGGTTATGATCTTCATCACTTTATTGATGGCACTCAAACTCCACCACAACCCACCATCACCGTCAATGGTGTTACATCTCCAAATCTGGCGTACACAACCTGGAAGCGTCAGGATCGTCTCCTTTTTAGCGCTCTCCTTGGTGCCATCTCCGTTTCATTGCAACCACTTATTGCCCGCACCACCACTTCCCTTGATGCATGGCAAACCTTAGCTAATACCTACGCCAAACCATCTCGTGGTCATATTAAACAATTGAAGGAACAATTAAAGCGGTGTAACAAGGGCTCAAAATCAATTAGTGAATACATGCAAGCGATAAAGACTCGTGCCGGTGAACTTGCTCTTCTAGGGAAGCCAATTGATGATGAGGATCTTATTGATCGTGTTCTAGAAGGACTAAGTGATGAGTATAAATCTGTCATTGATGCCATTAATGCCCGTGACACGTCAATTTCTTTTGCTGAACTTCATGAGAAACTTCTCAACAAAGAAACATCTCTTCAGACCGCTCAACCACCTTCCCTATCACTACCAGCCACGGCAAATCCCACGGCTTTTCGGAATCGTCCAAATTGGCGTCCACCAGCCACCAATTCACAACAATCAGGCCCTACCACTATACTTTCTCCTCATGATCAACACCAACCCAAACCTTATTTGGGTCATTGTCAAGCATGCGGCACTCAAGGACACACTGCCAAACGATGCCCGATGTTTCGGCTTGTCAATAATCAACAATCACCAGCATCTCGTCCTCAAGGCTCTCAGGGATATCGCCCTTCCACACCCTGGCAACCACGAGCCAATCATACTATTCTGGGCAACAACACTACACCTACTTGGCTGCTGGATAGTGGAGCATCTCACCACGTTACGTCTGACTTGAGCAATCTCTCTCTTCATAGCTCGTACCAAGGATCTGATGATGTCATGATTGGCGATGGATCGGCCCTTCACATAACCCATACTGGTTCTACCACCATACCAACTTCCTCTCACACCTTTACTTTACAAAATGTCCTTTGTGTCCCTTCCATGAAAAAGAACTTAATTTCGATTTATCAATTTGCACTCATAACCATGTTTCTGTTGAATTCTCACCCTCTGCTTTTCAGGTGAAGGATCTAAACACGGGGACAATCCTTTTGATGGGTGAACCTAAGGATGGCGTATATGAGTGGCCGACTACATCCCCTTCACTTTCCTCTTCACCATTGCTTGCATTTTCCAGTGTCAAGACCACTTCGTCCGAGTGGCACTCTAGACTAGGTCATCCGTCATTTACTATTATGAAAAATATTGTTTCCAAATTTCCTTTACCATTGTCTAGTCCGTTATCCTCCTTCACACATTGCAATGCATGTTCATGCAATAAAAGTCATAAAATTCCATTTTCTTCTTCTACCTTAACTTCATCTCACCCGCTTGAACTTCTTTTCTGATGTCTGGACCTCTCCTGTTTATTCTGTTGATGGTTTTCAATACTATGTTATTTTTGTTGATCATTATACACGATATTTGGTATTATCCCCTTAAACGAAAATCTCATGTGCATGACGTCTTTGTACGTTTCAAGGCATTAGTCGAAAACCAATTTAAACACCGAATTATTACCCTCTATTCAGATAATGGTGGTGAATATCAAGCCCTTGATCGTTTTCTCTCCACCAATGGTATATCACATCTTACTACACCACCCCATACACCAGAACATAATGGTTTTTCTGAACGACGTCATCGACATATTGTTGAAACTGGTCTATCTCTCCTTACTCATGCATCAATGCCTTTAACTTATTGGACTTACGCCTTTGCCACTGCTGTATATCTCATCAACCGTATGCCCACACCCACACTACATTTTTCATCTCCTTTTGAGAAACTCTTTGAGTCTCAACCCAACTACACTAAACTTCGGGTGTTTGGTTGCTTATGTTATCCGTGGCTTCGTCCTTATTCTCAGCACAAACTTGACTCTCGTTCCACTCCTTGTGTTTTTCTTGGCTACTCTTTAACACAAAGTGCATATATCTGTCGCTCTATCCACTTCTAAAATACATTTCTCGTCATGTCAAATTTCTTGAAAACTCATTTCCCTTTAGCACTCACCAAATCCATCTAGCGCGTCCCACCCCAGAGATCATTTCCAAATGGCTTCCCCCGGTCCAAATTTTACCAATTTCAAGTGGCTCACTCAATACGCCTCCACAAAGGGATTCCTCATGTCAACATCCGTCACAAAATACCCAAACAGACCACTGCCCTTCCTCATCAGTCGACCGTCGATCCCTATCCATAGACCTCCCTTTACCCGAACACAGCTCGGTTAATCGCCAAGAAACCATCGTCGACCATTTACCACTAGAACCACACAATTCTGAGACCTCTTCTGCTTCAATCATAGCGCAACCCACCCATCAAAATACCCATCCCATGACCACTAGATCGAAAAACAACATCCATAAACCCCTAACCAAATAATCACCTGCTATCATTTCTCAACCATCAGACATTGAGCCTCATACTGTTTCTCAAGCCCTAAAAGATCCCAAATGGAGACAAGCTATGAATGATGAGTTTGATGCTCTTGTTCGGAATAGAACTTGGGAGCTTGTTCCATCTACTTCTCTGCAGAATCTTGTTGGATGTAAGTGGGTCTTTCGTATTAAACGGCTTCCTAATGGTTCTATTGACAGGTACAAAGCTAGATTAGTTGCCAAAGGCTTTCATCAAATACCTGGAGTGGATTATCATGACACTTTTAGTCCGGTTGTCAAGCCGACAACAATACGACTTGTTCTAAGCCTGGCAGTCAGTAGAGGTTGGCAATTGCGACAATTGGATGTTAATAATGCCTTTCTTCAGGGCCATCTTTCCGAAGATGTCTACATGGCCCAGCCTCCAGGATTTGTTGATAAAGACAATCCAACACATGTATGCAAACTAAAGAAGCAATATAGGACTCAAGCAGGCCCCACGGGCTTGGTACCTTGAAATTCACCAATTCCTCATTGAGTCTGGGTTCACAAACTCTCAAGCAGACACTTCCCTATTCATTCTTCACTCAGGTGACACTACTATATATCTACTTGTTTATGTGGATGACATTATTATCACAGGCACCAACACCATATTATTCAGCGCTACATTGACCTCATGGCACAAAGATTTTCAATCAAGGATCTTGGCACATTGTCTTATTTTCTCGGCATTGAGGTTCTAACTACTCCATCCGGTCTGCTGCTTACTCAAAGGCGCTACATCACTGATCTTCTTGCCCGGACAAAAATGATTGGTGCAAAACCTGTTGCTACACACTTTACAGATGGAATCTTACACTTCATTCAGGTACAGCTCTAACTGACTGCACAGAATATAGAACAATTGTTGGCAGTCTACAGTATCTTTGCCTCACTCGCCCAAACATAGCATATGCTGTCAACAAGCTTTCTCAATTCATGCATCGCCCGACGTCTGAACATTGGAATGCTGCAAAACGACTGCTTCGATATCTATGTGGCACATTAACTCATGGATTATTCCTTCACAAGGCAAATCTACTTTCCCTTCATGCATTCTCAGATGCTGATTGGGCTGGAAACAAAGATGATTATACCTCAACGAGTGCCTATATTGTCTATCTTGGTCGTCATCCTATTTCTTGGTCATCCAAGAAACAACGTACAGTTGCTCGATCCTCCACGGAGGCTGAGTATCGATCAGTTGCCGCTACTACTTCTGAACTCAATTGGATTTGTTCCCTTCTCACAGAACTTGGCATCACTCTTTCTACACCGCCTGTTATCTACTGCGACAATGTTGGTGCCACCTATCTCTGCTCTAATCCAGTCTTTCATTCGCGCATGAAACATGTGGCACTTGACTATCACTTTATTCGGGGTCAAGTTCAATCAGGTGCTCTTCGTGTTACTCATGTTTCCTCAGCAGATCAACTTGCCGACGCTCTTACCAAACCGCTTCCACGAAGCCGATTCCAAGATTTAAGGGTCAAGATTGGTGTCTCCTCCGGAGCTCCATCTTGAGGGGGCATATTAGAGAATTAATTATAATAGATTTTATCTATATTTTAAATTATTATAATCAATTATAATATTCTTGTAATTAGTTGTAATCCCCTAACTCTAGGCTAATCTCCTATTTCTATGCCTTGTAATTAGTTGTAATCCCCTAACTCTAGGCTAGTTTCCTATTTCTATGTGTCCAATTTTGTGTATATATATTCACTCTTAATCAATGGAAAACTAAAGCCATTGTTTCTCATTACTCTTCTCTCTATTTCAACATAAACATCTATCTGTCGTCGATCGACCATTGATCGGTCAAGATTTTATAGGGTTTTGATCGGCGGGAGAGATGAGGTCGAGTGGAGCTTCGTTGACGACAATAGGTGGCGGACGATGTAGGTTTAGAGGTTGAAATGAAGGTTTTCAACGTTTTGGGTTTATTTCAAAATTTATGTTTTCTTTTTTTTAAAATATATATATATATAATTTTGTTTTTTTTTATTTTAAATAAAAAATTTAAATTTACCAAAGTTTGATATGTGTCATTTAACGGAAAAATTAACATCATTGATAACTCGAACACCTAAACGAGTAACGTTTGTAACATTAACACCCGGATGAATCTGAAAATAGTTTAGAAATCTATTTGGAAAAAACGATAAAGTTTGGAGATTCATTTTAGTATTGAGCCTTACATCAATTATCGACTGAAACACAAATAAAATGACAAAATTTTAATATTAAATATTGAATTAATTCAAATTTTAAATTATACTTTTATCTAATTTCTTCAGTCTTAAATTAATAAACTTGGGTCGACTTGTGTGATTAACTTAAGCTCCAACTCTATAGTGAGCATTAGGCTGTCCCCCCATGCTGGATGGAGGCTTAGTGTCCCACCTTTTTGGCTTTGTATTGGCCAAATATTAAAAATAAACTTTATTGCCCAAGAAAGTAATACAATGTTAGAACAACTTTTGATCCCAAAGTCAATAAGAATAGTTCCCATAATTAATTACTATATTTACCATATTAAAAGGAATTATTAATTTTAAACCCTTAAATTTATAGCTTCCATGTTAGATTCATGCAAGTAGGGTTCTTAATCACATTTTTGGCCCTCATCATTTTTTTCAAACAACTCTCTCTTTCACTTTTGATTCTGATTTTTTAATTTTTTTAAATCAAACCAACAGATAATAATAGATTTGTCAAGTCGACGTCAATTATTTTATATAGTAAACTACACATTTAGTACTTAAACAATTAATTTTAGTCTTTAATACCTAAACTTTTAATTTTTTTAAAATCATACCTGACGTTTAGTTTTTATTTCACTTTAGTACCCGCCATTAAAAACTTAACGTTTTTAGTACCTAAGCTATCAATTTTAGCCTTTTCAATTTTTTCAGAACTTAACATTAGATTCTGAATGGGTAACGGTGGAGTACTAAAATGAAACAAAAACTAAACTTTAGATATGATTTTGAAAAAAATTAAAAATTTAAATACTAAAATAGATCAATATTGATAATTTAAGTACAAAATATGTAATTTATCCTATTTTATGTTGAAAGACATGATACTGGATAGTTGTTCTTTTGTGTAAAAAAATAAAAATTATATTTAAAATGATAAAATGTTAAAAAAACTAAGTAAAAATATATTTAAATTGTTTAAAAAATTAAATTTTATTAAAAAAATGCAAGAACCAACTTACCTAAGTGGTTAAAGGAATTGTTGTTTTTCTAGGAGTTACGAGTTCGAGCACCAACACTTATAATAGGATGATTAAGCATTTATTGTCAAACGATTAATACTATTTGGAACAAATATTATTTTATAATCGACTTAACTTATAAAATTAAAATTTTGAAATAGTTGAAAAAGATCATAATTGATGTCACCTTAACATGTGAGTTACATTTTTTCCCATTAGTTGAGGTCGAAAAAGATAAAAGAAGTTGGGCTAAAATATTTTTTTCAAAAAGTTTGAACGCCAAAAAATATTATTAAATTAATAATAAAGTTATAAAAAAAATCACCAAATATAGTTTAAATAATTTTTTAATTAATTTGTGACATAGGTCTAGTCTCATTTAAAATATCACAATCAAATTCACTCCATAAATGAGTAGATGTCTGCCCACTTAATTCGATATTAATTTCAAATTGTAAAACAAAAAAGGAGTACAATAAATGAAGAAATGTTATTTAATTAGTCCTTCATCAAACATATCCAAAAACTTGGTGCCTCAACTAGAAAAATTAAATTGTGGGGTAGAATTTTGCAAAAAGCAAGAATCTTTGTCACAAAAGTTTGACTTTTTACTTCAAACATAATCTAAAGTGTACCCCTTTGCTTTGGTAGCTATTAAATCTCCCAACAATATTTTCACCATTGATTTAACTCACCATCCAGCTACTAATATTTATACATACCATACCCTTCTTCGCCCTCATTCATCTTTGGAACTCTGTGTTTGCAGATGGCCATGGCATCGATGACCAACATCTTATGCCTCTTTTCCATTCGACTTTTGCTGTCGTTCGCAAGTGTCGGCGGTGGCAAAGTTCCGGCAATCATAGTGTTCGGGGACTCGTCGGTCGATGCTGGGAACAACAATTATATTCCCACCATCGCCAGGAGCAATTTCGAGCCCTACGGTCGTGACTTCAATGGTGGACATCCCACGGGAAGGTTCTGCAATGGCAAGATTGCGACCGACTTCATCTCGCAGGCGTTTGGTCTCAAAGGGGCCATTCCTGCTTACCTTGATCCGACGTATAGTATATCGGATTTCGCCACCGGGGTTACGTTCGCCTCTGCCGGAACCGGCTACGACAATGCCACGTCCAATGTCCTAGTAACTCTCCATCAAATTGTTTGTTCACGCTTCATATATGTACACATGCACGAATACTCTTGATGAACTTATATATATATTATGGCATGTAGTCTGTGATGCCATTATGGAAAGAACTTGAGTACTACAAGGATTATCAGACCAAACTGAGAGCCAGTCTCGGAGACGGTAGAGCAAACGATATAATCAAAGATGCTTTATACATGATAAGCATCGGAACGAACGACTTCCTCGAGAACTACTATGCGGTCCCCGGTCGTTCAACGCAATACAACATTAAAGAATACGAAAACTTCCTAATCGGAATCGCCGGGAATTTCACCAAGGCACTTTACGATCTCGGAGCACGAAAAATTTCTCTGGGAGGGTTGCCTCCGATGGGGTGTATGCCGTTGGAGAGAACCGGCAATCTCATGGGAGGAAGCGAGTGTGTCGACAGTTACAACAATTTGGCGGCCGAGTTCAATAGTAAATTGAACGATTTGGTGATCAAGCAGAACAAAGACCTCAATGGGATGGACATGGTCTTCTCGGATCCGTATGGCATCATGTTGGATATAGTCCAAAAACCAGCTTTTTACGGTACATTACGATTTATTTTTCGATGATTATATTATTCGAATTCGATATAAATATCAAATACAGATAAAATAGATTAATTGTACCGTGAAAATTCATGTTTCACTCCCACTAACTTCCCACTTTTGTAGTAATACCGGGCTCAGGCAGTTAAAGGAGTTAATGTAACATTTAATACACCGTCTGTGTTGGTAAACTTCAACTCACCTTTACTTACAACAAAAAGAAAAGAACCCACCTTTATCACTACATTATAAGTCAGGCGATAGGGTGGTTAACCCTGAAAATTTCAAATTTATTTAATATTTTTTATTACTAATATGATTCCGTACCCTTTAAAGTTTTCTAATTTTACATCTTTTAATTTTATAATAAAAATTCTTAAATTTACATTCTTGAACATAAAATCATCTCTCTTTACAGGATTTGAGGTGACGGGAGTGGCCTGTTGTGCGACAGGGATGTTCGAAATGGGGTATGCATGCAGCAGGACCAACCCTTTTACATGTTCGGATGCAAGCAAGTACGTGTTTTGGGATTCTTTCCACCCCACTGAGAAAACCAATTCCATCGTTGCCAATCATGTGGTCCAGAATTCTTTAGCCAAGTTTCTCTGACCAACTTTCATATAAGATGATATGCTTAATTTATATAGTATATAGTTTGTTGTATAACTATATAGTCCATTATCAATAGATTCAACACTACTCTCTGGACTTGTTAATTATGTAATCTTCAATAATAAATATATATGTTTGGATTAGAGGCATGGGTTTAATTAATTAAAGGATCATATACATCTTGTTTAGCACAACTCTCCCTCTGTTTATATATATATATTCACTAGTGTAGCCTAAAGAAGGCAATTAAAGGATCATATACATCTTGTTTAGCATTTTCTGCCATGACATAATCTGCATGAGCATAATCATTTCTATACTGAACCACAAGCTTGTCTCCATCATGGTCATTCAGACTTCCCAGCAACAGATTCACGTCATCTTCATCGGCAAGAGCATCCTTCCCTCCATAGCTGACGAAAAGAGGAAGGTCATTCGGTATGCCGGTCATGTTGTATGCCGGAGGAGTCGGTTGCCCATAACGATTCATATTTTCGACCACATCGACGTAATCGTACATTGTTACGGTCCCCTGCCTAATCACTGATAAATAAACCACAGCAAGTTTTCAGCAGAGATGTTCTCATACTGGAAATCTTTGTGGGGTTTTTTTTTCCCAAAGGGTTTTATGGATTTATGGAAGAGTTCAAGCAACAATTCTGACCTGTAAAACTGGTCAATAAGTCAGTGCAATCAACGCCTGGTTTGCTGCAGGCGTCTTTCAGAAGTTTAATTACTGCCTCCCTGTTCATGATGAAAGCAGATCATGAACTTAAATCATATGTTCATAGGTGATATAGCTTTAAACTTATATACATTACCAAGTTTGAAGTTATTACCCTCGCGGATCGAATTCATGGAGGCCTAACCAGTAGACTGACTGCCAAAGAAGATTTTTACATTGTTCAAAATCTAAAAAAAAAAGTCGTCTTCAATATGGATAAAACACAGAGAAGCTAGGGTTTGGTTTTAACCTCAGCAATGAAGTTTTCAGCAGCATCTTTTGCCAGTGGGGAAGTCAACTGACCCAAATAAGCAATTGGGCAAAGCAAAGCAACTGATCTAAACATGCTCAACACTTCGTCCTCTGGGAAAGCAGCCAGAGCCATTAAAGTTCCCTAAATGTGAAAACAATATATCAAACTTCAAAACCGTTACGCAACCTCAGTAGTTAAAAAGAACATTATTCTTCTTAGAGGTTCTACGTCTGCAGGGTGTGTGCGTTGCCAAAAGCTTAGAAAGATTATGAACCGATACTAACTTATAATTGCCTCAAACTATTCAAATATATATATATATATATATATATCAAACTTCACCATCTCCCCGCCTTAAGAAACAATTGAAAGAAGAAAAAAAATCACCTGTGAATGCCCCACATAGTGAAGCTTTTGTCCCGTTTGATTATAAACATATTGGATTGTAGCAGGAAGATCATAGGCTACCAATTCATCCCACGACCAATCCCAGTAAGCCTGAAAACCGGTGAAGAATCAACTTAATGTTCAAAACACAAAGCTTGACAATATAATGGAATATAAAAGTTTTAACAATAACCGGATCGTAATGACTGAGTGATGTATGGCCTCTGCTGTATTTTGTTCCGCGTGAGCTAGCAAGCCAGACATCGTAGCCGTTGTCGGACAAGACGAACGCCAAAGACTGTTCCGGAGGCATTAGCAGCCATGTTATTGCATCCTGACACCATACATGGTTTTTAGGTCAAAACTCATTGCGTTGGAATGGAATCTTAGAAACATGACAATAAAACAAAACCATTAAGAGCCCGTGCTGTAACAGGACCGGTGGTCTGGTTCCTGGTGTCCCACCTGACCGACCCACGGGGATTCTTTGCATACTGAGAATGTAACCATCTTTCGTTGTTACCTATCAAAACCAAATAAAAAACCTTCATTAAACTGAGGAAATCAAAACGATTGGCATTTTGGCAAACACCTAGTGATCTTACCGTGTGTTCTTCACATTCATAACCATTAGTTTCCACCATTGATTTGCAAATACCTTCATCTTGAGCTTCAACAGAATACAAGGCTTTTCTATTTCCAGCTGCTGACCCACAGAAAAGAACCAGTAGAATTATAATACAGCTTACACTGCTGGCTACCTCCATAATATATGTTTTTTTTCTCTGTTCCAACAACCCCAGTGTTTGCAGAAATTTTATAGTAGCAGAAAAGCCAAATAAGAACAAAACAAAAGCATTCACATGGGGAAGCTATTGAAAATTACATCACTTTTGTCGACAGACAAACAAATTGATTTACAGGAAGGAATCAAAATGGGCCCTTTTTTCCTATATATATATATATATATATATATTTAAATGCATGAACTTTTGTAAGATTTCTCAACAGCCACGATTCCTTAATTAACAATTCGTCTTTACAATGTTTTATTTGCACAAAAGAAAATGACATTCTGTGACAGTTTTCCGTTTGTCTCCGTCGGAAGATACTGAAAACGAGGCTCCAAAACAGCAGGTTGCTTTGGAGATGAAACATATCTAGTGTTAGTGCATGACAAATCAGATGCCAAATTGGTAAGGCCTTGTGATGGAAATGTATCGAAGAAAACTAGCGTGGAAATGAACGAGGAAAGCATGCCAACTTAAGGCAGTGAAACACTTGCAGATTTAAGACCAAACCGCTGCTCTTTAAAACAGTATTATTTTTTCTTTTGAAAAATTGTAAATACTCGTTTCTCTCGGGGTTTTTGTCATTTTAGTTTAGATGCAAGTCCGAATCGCATAATTACAAGTCCAGCTTAAAGAGTCCAATTGTTTTAGGTTTGGGTCTGCTGGGGGATATTCTTTCAATTTAATTATCGGTATTCAATTTATTAACATGATAATTCAATTTAGATACTGCATAGACCTATTACATAGACAATTCTCCAATTTAATTATACTATTTACAACTTTAAAATTTAAACACTAGTGATTCAAGGAATCGTTGTTGTTCCTAGAAACCACATGTTCGAGCATCAACGGCTGTAGCAGATAATTCAACATTCATTGTCAAATAATTAAAAGTATTTAGAACATATACTACTTTAGAATCACTTTAACTTGATAAAAAAAATTAAACACTAGACATCATTAAAGGACTTTTAGAGCCACATCTTACTAGAAATAACTAGGAAGGCAAAATTAGCCCAATAAGCCATGCGGGTAAAAAAATTGGCCCAACAGGCCATCTCCAAAATTGATTTGAGATATACAACATTTGTCACAATGACTTGGAACTAGTCACATGGGCATGACGAGTTTTAATAAAATATATTTTTATTAGAACTTGTCACCCTGACGTGACAAATTCTAATAAAACAACTATATATATTTTTAGAATGTCATATAGACGTGATGAGTTTGATTAAAAAAATATTATTTAAACAAAATCGTCATGTATGCTTGACAAGTTTACCCTGCACTTAACATTTGCTGTATATCCCAAATTAAAATCTGGTTGGCCTAATGAGCTAATTTTCCCCCACTTGGTTTATTGGGCCAAATTTGACTAACTAGGAATGGGTAGGGTTTCTGGACCACTTGAATTGGACTAAAAATAATAAACCTCTCCCCTTGCACTCAACCTGACCCGGGGGTTAGGAGGATACTACACAACCTCATGATCTTTTTTCCATCGACTCATCGCCTTACCAACCACAATCTACGGCTGCGCTCAGTTTTATAGGATCTACTCCAATCTTTCTCCCGATACATCTTATTCTCTTGTTTGCAACGCTTATTCTCTCCACCAGAGAGCTCTCTGTAAGGTAAAATTCTTCCACTATCATTACGAGTAATTCCCAAGTAAGAACTAGGAATCAAGGAAATAGCCCCTGCTAAAATATTCGATTTGCCTGGAAATCACCCGCAACCGTAACAAAATCATTACTAGGTTTACTCTTAATTACATAGAGAACATGAATTGGCCAATAGACTACCAGAAAATTTTGCATCGAACGTTGCAATGAGTTCGACAACACACACACACACTCTAATTACTAGTCTGCAGAGAAGCTTGAACAATTTCTTGGTTTGATTGTCAGTGCTTAACATGATTGGTGGGTTCCCCCGGAACCAACTGGTGCCTGAGAAGTCTTTAACATATCCTCGGAAGTTTTCAATGCACTTTTTGGAACTCGGAATCTTGTCGGTGGTCTAGGGAACTGCAGTTGCCACCCTCTAGATTTTAGTGTTCCCAACAATTGCCACATTTTAGGTTTTATCTGCCCTGCTAGTTTCAATTGCTCCTTTCTGAACTTTCTATTCGCATACCACGTTCCACCTCGCCAACCCAAGCTATATCTGCAGTTAAACCAACTAAGCTATGTTATCTGCACTCAGGGATGATGTCAATAATCTGGACGGACAAATGTTCAGTAAAGGCATGCTTGATTTTTCCCCTAATATCATACCCCTGTACATGTCTTTCGACATGAATATTTAACAGAAAATAAAGTGTCGGTAACTGCAACTAAAAACACAACAAATCAATCAGATGTTTAAACCATCCATAATTCAATGAATTAGCACATACCAGCAATGAGAAGAGATTCCAATGGAGATACAATTTTCTTAACTCATCCCCATTATTCTTACCTCTTACGAAAGCCACTACAATTGATAAGTACTTTAGAGAAAGCCCATTCTATGGATATCATCTGTATTTTCTAATCGAGGACATTCATTCACCAGATAATGAAAAACGAATCGAACCCCAGTGTTTGGCCTCGTAGCAAGTTTTTAATCACAGGATTTGTCTACTTGAGGTGTGCAAGTGTGCAGCAGTGATTTGATCATGCCAGAGCCCAGAAGTGAGTGAGTTGTAACAAAACAAAATGAAAACAACTCTAATTCAATCAACTTCTAAGACCTTCTAGTTTATCACTAATACATCATTTCATCATACTTGTACAATGTTTTTCCCAATCATCAGCATAGAATTTCTTGCAACTAAGTGATCATTAAACATACAATCTATTGCAAA